CCTTCAGGCGGCCATGGCACAAGAACAGGCTCAGGTGGCCATGGCTCAGAAACGGTAGCGGACACCGGCTTAGGAAAGGGGAAAGGACACCGGCTCAGGAAGAGGAATCGGCTCAGGAACAGAAACAGGACCTGACCCTGGCTCAGGAACAGACACCGGCTCAGGCCCCGGTTCAGGCACAGGAACAGGAACAGTCTCTGGATCGGCAGACATGACCTGAACAGTCTCTGGATCAGCAGACGTGACCTGAACAGTCTCTGGATCGGCAGACGTGACCTGAACAGTCTCTGGATCGGCAGACGTGCCAGGTCGCTGGGGTGGCACCGGCAGGGCGAGCAGCTTGGGCACAACCTCCGGGGAAGGCAACGGGCTGCTCGGGCACGGCCTCCAGGAAGGCAGCGGGCTGCTCGGGCACGGCCTCCAGGGCGACAGCGGGCTGCTCGGGCACGGCCTCCAGGGCGGCAGAGGGGCTGCTCGGGCACGGACTCCGGATTCTTGTGGAGGCTGGAGGTCGTCCCCCTCCTCCGCCGTTTCTGATGGCGATGTGGAGGCAGGAGGTCTTCCCCCTCCTCCGCCGTTTCTGATGGCGATGTGCAGGCTCTGGGCTGGACGGGAACCGCGGCGAACAGAGCTCTGGGCTGGGCGGAATCAGCGGCGAACAGAGTTCTGGGCTGGACATCACCAGCCCAGGGTTGAGGAGGGACCGAAGCAGAGAGTGTTGCCGGAGCTCACCTCTAGCACCTCCTCTCCTACGACCTCCACGGGTCCCAGAAAACCTGGCCAGACGGGTTCCCTCAAAAGATTGTCCGTGCCTGATGGAAGGGTGCTCCAGGGAATTGACCGCCATAGTCTCCTCATTCTGACGGGGCCACTGTAAAGTACGTAAAGCACTGAAAAATGTTCATACGAGGCGGAACCTCTCCAGTTTGCGAATTCCCCCTCTGCTGCTTCCTCTCCCTCTCGGTGGTTGGGGAAGAGCCACGAAAACCCATACCGCTGGATCTATACATGACGGAGTCCTTCTTTCACGATACCACACACAGGAAACAGGGGTAGATCCAATAGCAGTTTAATGGGTATCCGTAAATCATAAAACCAGTCCAGGCAGGGGTCAAAATCCATATAAGCAATCCATAAACGAGAAACAAAACAAGAACAGGCAAGAACACAGACCTCCAAAGTGGTGTGACGAATAACAAGGACTCCATAACAAACACTAAACAGGCAGGGTATTTATACACACAAAAACTAACAATCATGATGGGGAATGGCTGAGTGCAATGAACAGTGATGAGTGCAGACAAGGATTGTGGGGGATGCAGTTCCTAATGCGAATGACACCGTGGGGGAAGAGGACCTCTAGTGGACACCAGGGAACATAAACCAACACTGTGACAATTATTGGCTGCTGTCACTTTAAGATCTGCCGCTGCTGCATATGACGCGGATCTCACACGCGCCTCCTTTTCTGACAATTCTTTACGCTCATTTAAGACTTTAATTTAAGACTCATTTAAGACTGCTCTTATGAGGATACTCAAAAACTGACATTTGGCATGAATCTGTGTTATTGTTCGTTCAAACGTGAAAGAGAACTTGATATTGGCGCTCGTCTTTCTGTGCGTCATGTGTGTGTCATAAGGACGTTCAAAGACCGCATTCTCTTTTGTCTAGTCACGCTTGAATGGTTTAAAAGCATTTGCATGAATAAGAGTGTGGTCATATAATATAATGCTAGCCAAAAGATGACAGAAAAAAAACGGATGCTGCATAAGTTATATTATATTATTGACAGCAGTTATTCTATTATATTAATAAAGATTTTCATTGATTGTTGCATTTATGACACTGCCAGTTACAGCATGGCTGTTTTGAGTGTAACATCAGGCTTTGTGTAACCTACTTCTAGTTTAATTGTATCAGACATGATTAAATTATAAATTTAATTGACACTTGAAACTGCTGCTGACATTTTGAAGATGTTTGAGGTTAAATATCAGTGTGGTTTGGGATAATTATTTTCTGAATAAATTAGCTACAAGTGTTACAATTATTCCCTAGTCTCCTCTACACAAACATAAATAATTTCTTTGGGGTTGTGATATAATGGATAGAGTGACTCATTGCATCTCTCTGTTTTAAAGTGAATGAAACTATTGCGGTGCTTCTGCTCCATTTACTGACCTTAGGCCAAGTCGTGGACAGATTATTTAGCGCTTTGAAATAGAAAGACTGATTACGCACTTCCTGCCCCTTTTCCAGTGATCAAGATAATAATTGGCTGCCTGTGTAGGTGGCATCATGGGGTTATTTCCATGCTATTAGTCCATCAGTCCAACTGCTTGATTTTGCCTTGCTGTTTCTCTGAGCGATACAGTCTGCATGGCAATTAAAGATGCATTATGCAGTGAATATCAAATATCCGCTTGATGTCACTAGAGCAAATTGAAAAACTATTAATAGATTTGGCAAATTTATTTATGCTAATCCACATTCACTTGGTAAATACATATATCTCAGTTTGAAAACTCTGATTATACATTTATAGATATAAAAAAAACATTTCTCAATGCAGACAGTATATGCGCTGATAATGATTATAAGATTCTTAAATGGACAGGACATTTTAGACAGATATCTGTTTAGTCTCTTCTGTATCCTACAACACCCAGTAGGCTAATAAATAAATAAAACAACAAATCCTTAACGAGAAATATGGAAATAAAAAGACAAGAAGAAGACAAACAAGGCTACTCAAGTACAGTCAAATTTGAATGCAAAAATGAATTCAATAAGGCATTTATAGAGCTAACAGGACCATGCTTCAAAGATGCTGAATAATTTATTAATGCCAAGGTTAAAATGACAGCACTTCAAGTGCTTGAAGAAGCTTTTAGCTACTTTGCTCTGCTTGTCAAAACATTTCACAAATGCTAATGATAAGACATCTATTTCTGCTAAGGACAAATGTAATTAAGCAAGCTTTGCGATAGCATATGCTAGCAAACGAAATCAGACTTAATTCCCCTTTGAATTCCTTCTCACTAAGCATGGTAAGTAAATCTACCCTGTAAATGTGTTGTATTGCCATTTGCACATGAATGAAACATTTTACCTCAATTAGTACATCAAAATGATGGTTACATTTAGAAACCCTTGGAGGATGCTATTTATTTAAATTCAGTACTCTGAAATGTTAGGGCCGCTTCACTCAGAATGCGTTTTTGTGTTCCACTGCTCTGCTTGTTAATCGTTTTTCATTGTAAGCATACAATGTAATGCATAAGCACCACTTTTTTAAGATGCCCTCAAGGGTCAAGGTAATGGTTCTCACAGAACACGTTTTTGAATTCCACTTTGCTTCTTTTCCATTGGTTTTCTTTTCAAACATGCATTATATGGCCATGTTTTACCGGTGAGCTCATGTCTTCCATTTTGTAAAATCTTACACGTGACAGCCTTCTAAAAACATGGCACTCAAGTTCAACTCTTAAAAAATCTTGTTTCGGGACTAAGGTTTTGAGACCTTGTGAATGGCTTCCAACAAGAACACCTTTGACCATTACGTCCTGTTGCTTTTTCACGTTTTTATGATGCTGTGTGAAGATATAGCCTATAGATAACTTATTGGCCCACTTCATTTTCTGTGTTCCTCTCCATCTCACGCATAGTTCAATGAACTAGCCTTTCAAAGTATACTCCTTTGGCCGTGAGTGCAGTAAGACGCGTTCGGCAGACATTGTTTTCAAGCTGTTGTATACACACCATCCGCGCTGACACAAATCTTTTGGCTTCATGCGGACAGTGCGCCGACTGCCGTGGAGGCAGACAGCTGAAGTATAGTTTAGGCCAGGGATAGGCAACGTCGATCCTGGAGTGCCGCTGTCCTGCAGAGTTTAGCTCCAACCCTAATCAAACACACCTGAACAAGCTAATCAATGTCTTCAGGATTACTAAGGCTAAAGGTAGGTGAGTTTATATCAGGGTTGGAGCTAAACTCTGCAGGACAGCGGCACTCCTGGATTGACGTTGCCTATCCCTGGTTTAGGCTATAGAGGCTGTTCACAAAGAAAGCATTTCTTTTCCATTGTTTTCTTAGTAGACATGCACAAGATGGATGTGTTTGAATGCTGCGCTTGCAACTAGTGTCTTGCGCATGACACAGCATTATATAAACGCTGCATTCAAGTTAAAAGATGTTCAACTTTTAAAAAACATTTTTTTTCTTTCCACTGCCCTTGTTCTTGCTTTTTTAAACTCAAAAATGCATTCTGTGGGAATTGGCTTTTGCTGCGTGACGTCTCGTGTTTTTAAACGCAAGTTGTGTGTGAACGGCCCTTTAGTTTTAAATCAAAATCTTCCATTTATTATCACATTAATGATATCATTCTGTCATTCTCAATTCTGTTCACACTGTTTGCCAATCCCCAGTATCTATCACATGATAATCTCAATGGCCTTGGTGGCAGGTGCAGCATAATATGTTATTCTGTGCTGCGAACAGCATTCACTCAGTCTTGAGAAGTGGCGTGCTTTGAGAGTCTTTACCTTCTGGGTACACCTCTTCAGGTTGATCCATGCCTTAGAATGTTCAGAATATATAAATATAACCGATGAAGATCAGTTTGGAGTGGATGTTTCGAGAGGAAGTGTGCACAGGGTGGTGTCGTGTATATGTCAAGCACAATGGATGAGTCAACAGTTGCCATGTTTGATTTAGTCAACATCCTCTCAGGCAAGCTCCTACACATCTCCACTGGCAGAGGATCCGTTTGGCTCCCCATGCTCAAACTTACGCACTGTAAAATGAGCTTTCCATCCACAAATTTAGAAAATGCAAGCTCTCTATACCACAGCAGGGCCACCAATAAGAGTTTAACCTTTTGGTTTGGATGTTGGTTGCACAAAGGATGTAAACATCAAATTATACTATTTAACTCCAGCTGTAATTACAACAGTAATAATTAATGTGCACTTTTGCAGTTCTTTGCTCTCTAAATGCCCTTTCGCACCACATTAAAATATTTTTTTCGCAGCTCAGTGAACTGAATTTTACTCTTGTTAATGCAGAGGAAGCCTGAGCTTCAGCAACTAGTTGGCATGCGAAATCATGGTTTAGATGTAATTTGCTCTCATTTCCTCTCAGTGTTGCTCTCCTCCGTTGCTACAAACTTTATTTCTGCATTGGCAGTGCGGGAGGCGACACTGCTGTCCCTCACTTTGTGTCTAAAGAGGAAGGGGAAGGTCTTCCTGAAAGACTTGCGGAAGCTAGCGCCCATAAAACCGTAGACAATAGGGTTGATAGAAGAGTTGGCATAGGACATGCAGTTAGCCCACGTCTTGATCTTATATGTTGCGTAGTTGGCCTTGAAGTTGGGGTAGAAAGACTGGAACAGGACAAAGATCTGAATGGGACCCCAGCAAATGGTGAAGAGGACAACAATGACCACTACCATTTTGGAAATCTTACTCCTAATGGAGATAGTTCTCTCTGAGAGCAGGTGGACCTGAAACAAACAATGTTTTGACAAGAAGAAGGGAACTTAGTCTGATATCTGCTTTCACTTACAAAAAAAGGCAATAAAATAATAGATCAGTGACATTTTAATAATAATCTGCATATGTTTATACATAGTGAGAATGCTCTGCAAAAGTACCTATAGACTTCTAGTCATTCTAATGAAGGTCTACACTGAAATGCAATTCTTTGTAATTTAATTGAAACTTGACAAAACAAGAAACTTTCATTTTTTTTCTGCCTGAATGTTAAGAAATATATTAAAAATGCTATTATACTATACTACGCTATCATACAGATAATGACTTGAATGCACCTCTTCTATGATGAAAATGTTTTCAATTTCTGAATTAAAATTTACTTTTATATTTTTCATAGGGTTTAAAGTAAAAGAAAAATGTCGCAATTAAAGGTGTATCACCATTAGAAGTCTCATTAAATGTCTGAAAAAATGTTGACATAAGTAGTTTTACATAATTTTTATTCATATTTTCTATATATTTAAAAATATAAGTAGTTTCCTATAAAATATTGTTACTATTTGGAAAAACTGCCAAATCTATCTAATATTTGAAAAAAGAAAAAAAGATCAAAATGTGTATTTAAGGTGTAGTGACATTTTCTGGATAAAGGTTCCAGTTTAATCCTGCCATATAAACTCACTATACAAGAAAAATAATGTTAAGACATGTACTCAAGAACTTTGAGTGAGTGAGAGGTCACTCAGCCGTATATGTGGGGAAAAGTCTTTTTTCTCAGACAAGATGGAGCTTTTAGGAGCTTTTAGTCTGAAATTCAAAGCGAATATGTGGCAAAGCTAACACTGCCTCCTCCTCAAGGAGTCACTATATCTACAGCGAAGTCTGGTGTTTGGCAGCATCATGCTGTGAGGGTTTTTTTCACTTTCAGTGACTGGGTTTCTTATCAAAGGGAAAAGGTGACTGCAAAATATGGGAAAATACAGCACATCTCAGTTCAATAAAGCATTTGTGGCACTACTTGAATATTGGAAGCACAGGTGCAAATCTAAACCCTGTCACAAATATGTTTTGAAGGCAGCATTTATCAATTGGCTCAGCAGTTGGTGAAAAAAATAAAACAAAATGATAAAATCTATTTATACATGTCATTTATAATTATTTCAACGTGATTCTGTCAAAAAATAAGCTATTTAATATACGACTGGTTATGTCTCATCTATCTTTAGACATGATGTTTATGGTGCTTTGGAAATCAATTTCTTTACAGGGAACCTTTAAATACAAAACGTGTGAAGTCATGAGATTTTGGGCACTGCCTATGTGATACTGAACCACACCTACATCAGATTACTTGTGAGAATGCTGTGTTTGCTGTGAAAATTAGCTTTACAAAATATTTAAAGTAAGGATTACATACTTTTATAAGAATATTTTATATTAATTACATTCATTAATTCTATCACTATATTTATAGTTATGTAGTTCATTAAGAATTAAAGATGCAGTAAGTGATTTCTGAGAAACACTGTTGATATTTGAAATAAACCCAAACAAACACACCCCTCCCTTCATTTGCTATAACGTAACATTTCAATTATATTCTGCTAAAGTGAACTAAATGACTTGGAAAAAAGATTCATTAATTTTGCCGAATGAGACTCAAAGATCTGAGTCAGTAAAATGATCCTAACTTCCCATTGCTACAGAGAATATGTAAGAAAAGTGAAGATGACGAATGAACAACTAAGAAAAACAAATGAACAGTTCACAAGATTATATGCAAGCAAAAATGTGTTAGTTGCCAGACTGTCCGTTTACTAAAGCTAAAATTACAACAACAGCATATTGGTTCTGTGAAACATAAAAACCAATGTTACTCACCAGGGTTTCATTTTTCAACAAATGAAATGTCCGACAAAATTAAATCTCTCCGGTCAAATTGTCCGATTAAAATGGCCTAATAATCCAGCCCCCCTAACACAATCTGAATCTGAGAATAAGCCTTAAAAAACGTGCCTTACTCCAGTCCTGTGGTGGCGGTAATGCACAAGAAATAGTTGCTAACCGCAAAATAAGAAGCAGCCTAAAAAAAATGTATAGGGCTTGGGCGTCGTGACGTCATTACTTGGCGTGGCGGCCATGTTGACAGCTTCGCGAATGTAAACATGCAGCAAGTCGAACGAGGAGAAGCAGCAGAGTTGGGAGAAAGAAAAGAAAAAAAGATGTTAAAATCCCTAAAAGGAGGTGGAATTTACCGGGATACGTTAAATAGGGAAGCCAGGGACCGGTATGTGGACAAAATCGGCACTTTTAACGGTTTGGATCCATATGAAATTTCCAACAAAGAGTCGGCAAACAGTGGGAACACAGTAATCCGGACAAAGGTAACTTTAAGATGCGCTCCACCTAGCTGCTAGTTTAGTAACCATTACTGCTAACAACCTTCACACATGTACTTTTAACTAACGTTATGTGTTTTAAAACTGTAACGTTAGCTTTCAACCCTCCCGTTTTTTTCCGGGCTTCTCGTGTATTTGAGCTCTTTTCCCGCTGTCTTCCCGTTTTAGAATTTTCCTGTAAAATATCCCGTATTTTAATAGTCTAATAACATTAACGTTAGCCCTTCCATCGGACCTGTCAGTCTCTGTACTGTTGTCCTGTTGCTACCCCCTTGCCCTAAGTATCGTTTTGCTTACTAACTTAAGTTTTGCTTAAAACAGCTACTAACTACACTTTTGAAACACATAGTTAAAAGTACGTTACATGTGTGAATGATTGTTAGCACTAACTGTTACTAAAGTAGCAGCTAGGTGGAGCGCAGCTTACCTTTGTCCGGATTAAGTTACTGTGCTCCCACTGTTTGTTGGAAATTTCAAATGGATCCTATGGAAGCGTATTGCATTCACTGGAGGAAAAAATCTACTCTGTTTTTCTGAATTAACGAGTTAATTATCTCAGAATTACGAGATAATTTTTCATGGAAAAAAGATTTTGCTCTGTTTTTCTGAATTAATGACTTAATTATCTCAAAATTATGAGTAACTCATTAATTCATAAAAACAGAGTGAAAAAAATGTTTTTCAAGAAAAATGTGTCTCATAATTCTGAGATATTAACTCGTTAATTCAGAAAAACAGAGTAGATTTTTTTTCCTCAAGTGAATGCAATACGCTTCCGTAGGATCCAAACCGTTAAAAGTGCCGATTTTGTCCACATACCGGTCCCTGGCTTCCCTATTTAACGTATCCCGGTAAATTCCACCTCCTTTTAGGGATTTTAACATCTTTTTTTCTTTTCTTTCTCCCAACTCTGCTGCTTCTCCTCGTTCGACTTGCTGCATGTTTACATTCGCGAAGCTGTCAACATGGCCGCCACGTCCCAGAATGCAACGCGGCGCCCAAGCCCTATAAAGCAAAAATACACGGACCGATCAGGGGTGCGTTTCCCAAAGCCAACTATGGTCGCAAGTTCCGTCGTTATCAATAGAGTTCAATGGAAATTGCAATCATAGTTGGATAACGATGCTTTCGGGAAACGCACTCCAGAAGGATTATTTACCATTTTACAAGCATTGAGTCTGCGGACACTGCTCCTCTTAAAAATGCCGTAAACCTGCGACGTGATGCCCTCGCTGTCATGACAGCGCTCCGTGGCTATGGAGGACTGCATTTCTCCACAGCCTGCGAAGCCCTCATATGTGATTTCAACAAAATGTATGCAGCAGGGATGCTCATTTCGGTTAATTTTCCCAACCGACAACCGCCGCTTGTTAATCGATTATTAACCGTTAACTGATAAGATTATAATATTGAATTGGCATTAAATAAAAATAAAATTGACACATATCTGTGACCCGTTAAAAATACAAACATTTTTATTTATTTATCAAAGGGTTTATTTAAATGTGCAAAGTGCAAACAGCAGCATACAGAACAGATCAACAACAGAACTCAGATCAAATTTTCACGCACCTGCAACATTTCTGACAGTGAAAACAGAGAAAAACAGAATAAAATAATACAAATAAAAAAACATAAAATTGGCCAACACTAAATATATATTTTTTAAGTTAAATAATTAACAAATTAAGATGACAAAAAGAAAACACTGAATCCGAAGCTTTAAAAAAAATAGCAATTTTTTTCTGTTAGACTAAGATTTTTCGTTAAATAAAAATAGCAGCCCTACCTCAATCCACACCGAGATGTTTTTATCTCGATGCGGCACGGACGCGCTTGGAAAAAACGAGCGCGTCGCTTCCATTATGAGCGCGCATACCAGCACCTACTTTTAAAATAACGAACTTGAGCGCGCAAAAGACGTGGTGTGAAGATGTGATCAGGCCCTTACGCGGCTTATGAGCATTGCAAGTTGTGGAGACACTGGTAAGTTTTGATTTTAAGTCGGCAGCTGCACAATTCAGCACTGCAAAACAGCGTAAAAAGTAGCCTAAAATGACTCGAGGCAATGTTATAGGCCTAGTCATTTGTTTGTTCCAGTTCATTTCTCAAGGAGTCATTTCACGGTGGCCAATTTAAATGTTACCAGCTAAATGAGACCTACTGAGAGTGTATAATTAAGTTCGCTTGAGTAAAAACAATAGGCTACTATTCAGATATTTTATGTGGGGAAGGGGGATTGGTTTGTTAAACTATGTGAAACCATAGTAAAAACAATTGCCGTTGATTGACGCCAATCGGACATTCACGTTTCTGTTCCGTCTATTTGAAAGTTAGGCTAATAAACATGTTGCATTCAATACGGCCTGATTATGTCATTTTTTAAGTTACATAGCCTGCCTCCAGTTTTCCTCAACTTGACTAATTAAGAGGCGATATTTGACCGGCATATCATCAAAATGTCCGTAAAACGAAAACTCTGCCGGTCAAAGCCGGCACCATTTTTTTCTAGCGGAAACTCTGTTACTCACATATGGAGCAGAATCAACGCAACCTCTGCATCCATTTTCAGGCCTTTCCGCTTCCTGTCTCTCCAGTGTTGAAAAGCTTGTAATTTTAACTCGAGTTCTAAAGCTCTTGCCTGATCCATAACCCTTCTTTTTCCAGTGATATTCCTCTGACCTTTTCTCTTTTGTAATGTCTCTCAGCCATCTCCCTTTCTACATTCTTTTTTCAAATTTCCCTCTTGCTCTTTCTCCCTCTACTCCCCCCATCATCATTGTATACGCCCCCTACTGCTGATTGGCTACAAGTTTGTTGTGGTGCTCGGTAAGATTCACTTGCAACAGCATTTCTCAGAAATCACTCACTGAACCTTTAAAAGTATTTCCAGTAATTTTTTTTATTTATGCAAAGCACTGTCTTTCATTTTGGCCTTAAATTACTTTTATTTTACCAAATAAAAGGTTACTACTACAACTACTTTGTCTTTACTGTTGAAGAGAAGGAAAGAAACAAAGATATTTCACAACCCCTCGTAGCACACCTGAATTATAGATTAAAGAGTGTATAGCCTTTTATATATATTCGGTGGAGTGTCATACCTGATGGCTGTTATCCACTGGTTCCACAGAGGCCTGTCCCACTCTCTTCAACATGAAGGAATAACAGAAGGAGATGGTAATGACAGGCAGTAGATAAACAGCTATGAACTGATAGAGGATGAAAGCCTTCTCAGTGGCCTTTGATGGAAACCTCTCCATGCAGTATTTTCTTGGTCCATACCAATAGCCGTCCTCAAGCCTCTGGTACAGGAAGATTGGTATGGAAAGAATGAAGGAACCTTGTTGCATAAGAGAGGGTAAGATGAGAATTTAAATGCTCATTAATTTTCAATATTTTACATAGTATTCTGGGTGATGAAATGCAGTTGAGTGCTGTCATCCACTTATGTTAAAAAGCATCAATGTGAAGCTTGAATTTTTGTTGAAGCTTTTAACCTACATTCATTTTTCCGTAAAAATAAAGTTAGATATTTGAGCTGTATTGTCTCAACTGTTCTTTTGAAGTGGGGCTACTTTTAGGTGGATAACAGGTCGACCTCTGGTTACTTTATTGATGTAATTTGGTATCCTTGTGTGAACATGCAAAACTTAGCAGTTTTACATGGTAATGACGAGTTAAATACATTTGATAACCAATCCTTACACGTTGTGGTTCTAGCATGTTTTCGTATGTTTACACTGAAACGCATTTTTTTTTACGTATTATTGACAGCAATTAAGATATCTACAAAACTACAATGCTACAAATAATAAAATACAAAAGTATATATAATATAAAGGACAGCTTTAATAACTTAAACACATTTATGAATTATTTATATTTATACTGTATTGTAAATATATTTGTATAGTTACATTTTACTGATATACAGTACATATACATTACGTCGAAAAGACTGACATTATGGGATCTCACTTGGGAGCCCAATCATCTTTAAGTGGTAACAAAACAAGCCAATGGACATTGGCGAGTGAGATTTGCATGGCAAGCCACTCCCCTGGACATACAGGTATAAGCTTGCTGGCAACTCACTCATTCAGCTTTTTGCTTCTGAGCCGAGCGGTTGTTTGTCAGTGCTCTGCCAATCTGCCTTCATTCACGAGACGTTCTGTCACCTTCATTTATATAGCGCTTTTCTGTGTTAGAGAGATGTCAAACTCAGTCGTGTGTTTCGACATAAAGAGCAAACGTGCTGTGTAGTGATCATCACACCCCTGGGCATGGCCGTAGATTACGCGGGAGAATCCATCAGTATCAGTTCAAAACGGCAAAAACTCTTCACTTGTTTTTCACGAAAAAGTCAAGCACTGTAAGTAAGTTGTCATGTGGTATCCGAATTGTGTTGCACAATGATGAATAACTCTGCCTATTTCTCTTGTTGAATTAAGAAGTTTTGTTGTAAATTGAAAATATTCACTACCCGCAAAAACGTGCACTATTTTCAATCTTTTTTTATTCGTAATGTCTTTTATTTTCACAGATATGTTATCAAAGCCCTTCAAATTAGAATAAACATGGTGATTGTTAATGCTGAATTTGTATTTTCATGCAATAACAGCCACGATCTGCTTGAATCAGGCAGCGTTGTAACATTTACATGATGTTTACCATAATTCGGTAACACTTTACAATTAGATAAAAAAGTTATAGACAAACTTTAAGTTCTCTTGAAAAAGCCTAACTAGAAAGTTTTAAGTAGTTTTAAAAGCTTGAAGTTTGAAGGTTTTCAATTGGAAAGTTTAGTAAGACAGACATTGTTTAGGCTTTTAAGGAAATTTAATTTTGCCAAAAGAAGAACTTTTATTCTAAGTAACCTAAATGTTATTTACACAATTTTCTTACGGTGGGGCATGCCCCCGGACCCCCCTAGAAGTACCGAGATCCACCTACAAAAATAATGTGGGTAACACAGTAGGCTATATGGTGATCTACGAAAAATAAACATTTTATTATATAATTTAAATACATGGTCGGGATTTTACCACCTCCGCCTCGTTTTCAACCAAAAACCCTGCATGTGCAATATAGTACTGAACATCTGCATTTCTTTCTTTCTGTTTTATTGCTTTAAAAATAAATTGCATATTAAACCAATTAAGCAAAAACCTGTCAACAAAAGTCTGAAGAAAAAACCTTGACATTCTGTCCGCCTCACTTTTGAAATGATGGCTACGCCCCTGCCCCTGGGCGCTCCTGGCCCAGTCTTACAGCCACTGCCTCACATGTCTGGGCCGTAAGCTCACTGAGGAGGTGTTCGTTAATGATTCATGTTCTCACTGCGGGAACATGACGATTGTAATGTTAAGATCGAGGCTCCGATACCTTGAAAAAGGTGGAGTACCCTCTGTTATACCCCGTTCTAGTTTCTCTGCTCCACAGAGGACCCCTTTGGTTAATACACAGGGAAATCTGTGAATTATAGTGGGAACGAACCCCATCTCAGCCATCGCTACACCCTCAAAAGTGTTCGGCGAAACAACATCTCTGAGACAGGTTACCCGGAGAATGAGGGATCTGCTCTTGTCCATAAGATGGTATAGGCACCACTCCTTCCCCTGGAGGAGGGCCAGGTGGAAAATCTTTTGTTCATCAAAAAATAATTTATTTCTGTTCCGCCGCTGGTACTCAATTTTTTTTTTTTTTTTAAAGAGCAGTTTCCTCAATCTCATTCCCCTCTTCTCTCGCCACAGCGCAGGAGTTTGTTGCTCGAGGGCGCAATGCCTCCTCACATGTCTCCAACTACTCCCTTGTGGGAACCATGGAGCCAGGTAAGTCACATCACACTCACTTCCTCTACTTCGGGACGCTACACCTCCCAGGTTGGGACCCAGCGATCCACTTCGCTGCCCCTCCGCTGGTGCATCTGTAGTTCCACTGGTGCCTCTTGCATGGTGTCTGGGGGCCGGGCTAGTGCTTCCCAGCCCGTCTCGTTGGCTCATTAAGATGATCAGACTCGGCTAGGCGATTCAGGTTGCTTGGTTTCCCCCCAGGTTCAGCAGCGCCCTGTTTACCGTAGTGGCATAGAAGGATGACCCTCTCCTGTGTGCAGAGATTGCGATCAAGCTGGCAAGGACGCAATAGAGCCAGCCCCTCCAACAGAGATAAAGTCGGGTTTTACACCTCATCCTTCATCATACGCAAGAAACGCAGTGGGTTACAGCCAATCTTGGATCTGCATGTCTTGAATCGGGCAATTCACAAGCTTCTGTTCAAGAAGTTGCCGCAAAAACGCATCTTCACATGCGTTCGCCCTCGAGATTAGTTTGCAGCGATCGACCTGAAGGACTCATAAATGTCTCGATTTTGCCTCGACACAGAGCATTCCTTTGGTTTGCTTTCAAGGGCATACCAGTACAAGGTCCTCCACATCAGGCTGTCCCTGTCCCCCTGTGTCTTCACAAAAGTCGCAAAGCCTGTCCTTGCCCCACTAAGGGAAGCGAGAGTTCGCATTCTCAACTATCTTGATGGCTGGCTCATTTTAGCTCACTCTCGAGATTTGTTGTGCGAACACAGGGACCTGGTGCTCAGGTACCTCAACCATCTAGCGCTTAGGGTCAACTGGGAAAAGAGCAAACTCTCCCCTATGCAGATGATATTTTTTCTCATTATGGAGTTGGACTCGCACAACATAACAGCTCATCTGACGAACGAGCACGCACCGTCAGTGCTAAACTGCCTGAATTTGATCAGGGGGACAACAGCTGTTCCACTGAGACTATTTGAGAGGCTCCTGGGGCGCATGGCATCCTCAGCCATGGTCACGCCGCTCAGATTGATGCATATGAGATCGCTTCAGGACTCGTGGCGCACATCGGGTGACCATCACACCGATCTGTCGCCACACTTTCAGCCCGTGGTCGGACCTTGCCTTTCTATGGGCTGGAGAACAAGCCCTGGAGAACAAGTATCCAGGCACGTTGTTTTCTCAACAGATGCCTCCAGAACGGGCCTGGACGCTGTATGCAACGGACGCTCCTGGACAGGATCTCGACTGCAGTGGGAACATCAACTGGCTCGAGTTGCTAGCAGTACTGCTGGCCCTGCGCAGGTTTTGAAGGTTGTTGCAGGGCAAGCACATGCTGGTCCGGACAGACAACACAACCATAGTGGCGTACGTCACCAATCAGGTTGGTCTATGTTCACGCTGCATGTCCCAACTTTTCCGCCATCTCCTCTGGAGTCAGTTGTGAACCAGGTTGCTCCGTGCCATTTACATTCCGGGTGAGCTCAATCATGCAGCTGACCAGCTCTCACGCTCCCGGGTGAGTGGAGACTCCACCCCCAGTTGGTCCAGCTGAGATGGAGTAGGTAACCGGTTTGCCGGGTCCTCCCATTGCCAGCTGTTCTATTCCCTGACCCAGGGGACCCTCTGCACGAATGCACTGGCACACAGCTGGCCCCGGGGCCTACGCGAATATGCGTTTCCCTCAGTGAGCCTGCTCGCACAGACACTGTGCAAGGTCAGGGTGGAAGGGGAGTAGGTCTTGGAGTAGGAGGGGTGGTTACAAGTGCCCTATTTGCTCTGGCACACCCCACCTGTCACACCCTGGATGGAGTTTCCTCCAAGCATCCTTCGGCAGTGGACGCAGCGGAGGAGTCCGACACCAGGCTCAGTACACGAGATGCAAGCCTAGGTAGTCAGCCCATGTACTGGGCTAGATGCCCCATATGTGTATTCTTCCAAGGCACGGTTTCCCTGTCGGTAAACCCGTGTCTTTCCCTGGGCAGATTCCACTTTGCCCCGTCTCTCCATCTGTAATGGTTCTATCCCTGACTGTCTAGGCAGGACCTACCGCAGAGATCTTCCATATGTAGCACTGCCCCACGAGTCAGTCCATATATGTATTTCCACATGTTACCTTCCTATCAGCAGGATGTAGTCTCTGTAACGGCCCTTTCCATCTGGACTCGGCGCGTTTCCCCAGTATTGTCCAACCAGTCGTGGCTGAATTGGTGAAACAGATAAGAACAACAGCTATCGACCTTCCTCTTGGAAAGTTCTATCCTTCCGCCCCATCAGGTACGGAGGTCTGCCCGACTTACATGGGCGCTGGGTAGGATCAACGGTTTAGGCACTTTCCATAGGGACAAACGTGACTGACTGATAGGGAACATCTCGGTTACTGTTGTAACCCTCGTTCCCTGAAGGAGGGAAAGGGTACGTTATGGCCCGCCTGACCTGTGTATATATATACAATATAGCCAATTTTCAAAGATTTATTACACTGTAGGATGACTTGAACTTATTTATGTGATAATCGACAGCAGATACTGTGGAAGGAGATTAAGTTGTACATTTAAGTTGTTTACATTTAATAAAGTGGACTAATTATTGCAGTTATAGCGAGAATACTGTTACATAAGTGTAGGGATGGTGTCACCTTTATTGATATTAATGACATGATAGCAACGTTATGTGTATAGTGTATAATTCTACTAAATGACTTACCGATCCAGATACAGATGCTAACAATCATTGCGACACGAGGGGTCCGATGGTGCAGGGATTTCAGAGGATACACAGTCACATAGCAACGGTCTCCACTCATCGCCGTAAGAGTGATGCACGTCGCCTGTACGGTCACCTACACATTGCCAAACCTTTTGTTATCATGTGTTCATATCATTATCAGTACATGCAAGACAGACATGCCCCAGAGCGCTGGAGTAAACATAAAAATTGGATTTAAGTAATCTAAAATCTAGCACATCAAAAACGCATAATGCTTTCAATATAGGCCAGTCTTTAGCTCATCCCTTTCTGAATTCATTCTAGACCGAAAAAACAGCCCCATTCATTTGTGGTTTTGTCTGGTGAATTAATTGAACTGAAGGGCCTGATTGCTTATCTTAAATTAAAAGAATCAGGTAGGAGGAGAGGCTTTAGAGAATAAAGTCACCCATTGTGCTGAGTGTTTTATACAAGCTTAACTATCCCTTAGCTCTTTGATGCAACAGGTGTGAACAAAGAGCTGTTCCTTCCCATCATTTTTTGTATAAGGTATCTAATGATTAAACAAAAAAGGTGTGCGTAGCCTCAATCTGAGGAAGCCTGTGTTTATGACACGAAAAGCTTCACGGCTAGGAAAATACCAAAACCACAGCTGGATGTAAATACAACTAAGAATGAAGACTTGTGAATTAACCATAGACTTTCAGTAGATTTTCATGTACAGATAGTAAAATTTATTTTACTTTCAATTGCACTGCAACATTGCTTATGTAAGTGAATTTAATTCAAAGTATAGACGAAACAAGTAACTATTCATATGTTTAATGGGATGACATCCCTTTTGTTGCATATTCTTTTTTCTTTTCTTATGTTTTTAATGGTTCTATAAACATATTGTCCTACTTTTCTCTTTGGCCAATGCAGTCTCTCACGAAGCAGTGAATAAAGATTGACTCACATCTTCTATTATCTACATGAAATGAGGGATGAATCATAATGTTGAAATGCCACACAAAAATAAATTCTTCCTCCATGTGTACCTAAATGTAAAAAAAAAAAAAACACACACACACACACCTTGATATTCCTCGGAGCATTTCTATTCAATGATGATTTTCTTGTATGATGTACACTAACCTAAAGGATTATTAGGAACACCTGTTCAATTTCTCATTAATGCAATTATCTAATCAACCAATCACATGGCAGTTGCTTCAATGCATTTAGGGGTGTGGTCCTGGTCAAGACAATCTCCTGAACTCCAAACTGAATGTCAGAATGGGAAAGAAAGGTGATTTAAGCAATTTTGAGCGTGGCATGGTTGTTGGTGCCAGACGGGCCGGTCTGAGTATTTCACAATCTGCTTAGTTACTGGGATTTTCACGCACAACCATTTCTAGGGTTTACAAAGAATGGTGTGAAAAGGGAAAAACATCCAGTATGCGGCAGTCCTGTGGGCGAAAATGCCTTGTTGATGCTAGAGGTCAGAGGAGAAATGGGCCGACTGATTCAAGCTGATAGAAGAGCAACTTTGACAGAAATAACCACTCGTTACAACCGAGGTATGCAGCAAAGCATTTGTGAAGCCACAACACGCACAACCTTGAGGCGGATGGGCTACAACAGCAGAAGACCCCACTGGGTACCACTCATCTCCACTACAAATAGGAAAAAGAGGCTACAATTTGCAAGAGCTCACCAAAATTGGACAGTTGAAGACTGGAAAAATGTTGCCTGGTCCGATGAGTCTCGATTTCTGTTGAGACATTCAGATGGTAGAGTCAGAATTTGGCGTAAACAGAATAAGAACATGGATCCATCATGCCTTGTTACCACTGTGCAGGCTGCTGCTGGTGGTGTAATGGTGTGGGGGATGTATTCTTGGCACACTTAAGGCCCCTTAGTGCCAATTGGGCATCGTTTAAATGCCACGGCCTACCTGAGCATTGTTTCTGACCATGTCCATCCCTTTATGGCCACCATGTACCCATCCTCTGATGGCTACTTCCAGCAGGATAATGCACCATGTCACAAAGCTCGAATCATTTCAAATTGGTTTCTTGAACATGACAATGAGTTCACTGTACTAAAAGGGCCCCCACAGTCACCAGATCTCAACCCAATAGAGCATCTTTGGGATGTGGTGGAACGGGAGCTTCGTGCCCTGGGTGTGCATCCCACAAATCTCCATCAACTGCAAGATGCTATCCTATCAATATGGGCCAACATTTCTAAAGAATGCTTTCAGCACCTTGTTGAATCAATGCCACGTAGAATTAAGGCAGTTCTGAAGGCGAAAGGGGGTCAAACACAGTATTAGTATGGTGTTCCTAATAATCCTTTAGGTGAGTGTATATTCTGTATGGCTGTTATAAATGGAACTGTTTGGGTTCACAGAGGATTAATCTTTTATGTATTGCTGCTGAGAGAGACCGCTTGCCAAGCTATAATCTACAGTTGCTACTTTTAGTTACTCCAAAACACTAGGGGTACCAGCACTTTTAGCCCACATCCCCATTGCCTAGTATTAAAATATTTAGCTCACCCATTGTTGTCGACTTGCATTAAAAGCACATCTGTTGCATAGTTCACAATAGTTTTAGCGCCGAATAATTTTATAAAAAGTATAGACGCCTTTCTGTCGTTTCCTTTTACCTATTTTTTTTTTTACCAACCTCACTGAGAAACGTGCACGTGGTGACGACATTTCTGCAAAATTATGTCATGCTGCTTCTTCCACATTTTGCAACACTTTCAAAGTTAAATGTCCAGTTATTGGCACCAAAAGGGCAAACAGATGAACGTAAGTCTGGCAAAGTATTATTATGTTGGTTGTTGTTTGCATCGCAGCAGTTCGGAAATGAAATGTCCAGTGAGTGGTACTAAAAGGTTAATGTTTGTTTAGAAAAACATGCTACCTAATCTAAAACCCTTCCCTAAGCCTAAAAGATACCGGTATTATGAACAAAAGAAAATATAAGATTAAAAAAAACATTTGGAGAATCCACCATTAAATTTTAGCTTGGTTCTTCATGCTCTTTTATTGTGACTGCCGAGAAAGTTTATGATGTCAGAAAAGCCTTATACTGCTTATGGAGCTGGTTAAGTGATGCAAACGTCAAAATGTTTTCATTTTGTTTTCAAATCATGCATTATGGTAAATTATGGGTTATTGTGCAAATTGTTTAATTATTAATAAATTATTAAATGTAAATTATTGTGCAAGGAACCACTCGAAAATAAGTCTCCATTAATCAATAATCTGCCCCAATCATAATTTCTGTGAAAAGAAATCAAAGTTGTTGGTCTTTTAATGCCACTAGTAGACATTTTAGCTGGACCTGCATTGAATTGTTTTATAAAGGTAAAAAAAAATGAAGGTAGAGACACATTTTTTAAATGAGTCTAGTTTTTTATATATATATATATATATATATATATATATACTTTTTTTTTTTAAATCAGAGTTCCTGGAGCGGCTTTCTCTCTGCCAGACAGTCAGAATGTGGTTGTCCAGAGAGGTACATTGATTGTGAAAAAGGTGATGAAATCAGAAAATGTGCGATGATTCTCTACACACCCCACATACCAAAGCAACTACTGTACGTTTGTTTCGAAATGTATCTTGAATTTTTGACATTTCAGTTTTGACATCTCTCTATACAGAGTCAATCTAAGAATACATTTTTTATTAGTATTAAAAGATATGCAAGATACTTTTGCAGTATACAACTAAAGCATTTCTAATTCTATACAAGACAAGACAAACATTTCAAACGTCATGAACATTTGGTCATGCGACTTGAACTAATTAATTTCGTTGCCAAATAATTACATCACGATGTGCCCATCTTCGGCCATCCCCAACTCCACAACACGTTGTGGCTTCACTACACAACACTAATTTTCTATTAAAAATAGGGACTATAGTCTTAATCAGTGTATTAATTAATTTATTGCTAGTTGACACTGCCGGCTACCGTATTGAAATGCAGAATCCTATCAGCATTGATTTTACACATTTATTCCTCCTACTTTGTACTTCACAGTGGCTTTGTCGGTGTGCCCATTGTCCTCAAAAACATTCTGAGATCATGCAGCAGGAAAAACATTTGCACTACACAAAAGAAAAAAGAATCTTGTTTTTGAACACTAATCTGTGTTTCCTTAGGTGTTCTCCTTACCTGTTGGAGAAAAGCAACAAATTTGCACATGAAGTCCCCAAATATCCAGCCTGGCAGGGGGTAGAGAGTAGCAGTGAACGGCACGCAGCATAGCAGAAAAATGATGTCAGTGGAAGCCAAGTTTGCTGAGGAATTAAATATATGTGTAATGAACGATCTGTCTCATCTGAATAGGTATGCACAATTGAATGAGCAATGTGAGGTGGCACTGTTCGTATTATTGTTATCTCCACGGGGTTCATGGATTCTGCCAATTCTTCAAATATTGTGAAGTTAAAACAATCTTAAGAATTATTGGAGACAGAAATGGTGGAACATGCAAGGATATGTGCAGTGAATGAAATACAAAGTTCTCTCAGCAACACTGAAAATGGATGTCAATCTGACTGCCTGTCGTGCTATGATTGATAAAACGTCCCTGCAAAAAAAAGACTAAAAGTACAAATACAGTAACATTACAAATACTAAAATACAAACATATAGGCTTTGAGTGAGTGTGACTTTTTGTATTATTATTAAGTCATTCAAGTTACATTTCCTAACCTCGCAATCTTGCTCAAGAGGTCCTTCTGCAGTGTTCCTTGAGATAATGCAATAATTCTTTGTTACATGACAGCACATCATCCTGTGGCTAATGAATCATTTACCACAAATATAATGTCAATAAGAGTTTGAACTTCAATTTGTTTCCTGTCACAGCAATTCCTGTGCAAAATTAATTCATTTCACTGTGCTTGTATGGAGTACTAAATAATCTTATTAATTACTTAATAATTTTTGATAATATGTATAGCTCCTTATATATAAAATTAAGTTCAAAGTACAGTAGGTCTGAGCATCATTTTTACAAGAAATAAAGCATAAAACAGCTGGGCTGCTGCAACGTGATCTCATGAGAATACGTGTGTATTTTTTTACGTAAAGTGTAGTTCTATCATACGTACATTTATTTACGTTTTATACACGCAGACACGTATAATACTGACGTATTTGCAGCACTAAAACGTAAAACATTTACGTATTGACAGCACAAAAACGTAATTTATTTACGTATGAACAAATCTACCGACGTACAAATTTTTACGTATTACTATTTATGCATATTAAAAAGTTTTCAGTCACATTTATTTATATAATACTAATAAATATTTACATTTTGCTCGTTTCGCCTGAATGGTGTTAAACAATAATACACTTTAAAACCTTTAAAATACCGTCTTTACTCGTTTTTGTAATATAGTCTATTTACCGTGAGACACAAAAAGCGTTTTCTCCAATAAAACACAACATAAATTCACAAGACATCAATTTTATTAGTTTGATGTAATTCAAATCTTTAGAATCCATATGTTGTTTGCAATAAACACATCCAAATTCAGCCTTTTATCCAGTGATCTTCAACTCCATTTCTCAGCAGCGACCGTTCACGTCAAATTCCGCGATGGTGATTAATTCAAATTCAAAAATTGCGCCCTCAAGAAGTGTTACGTCATGTTTTACGGCAGTGATATCAAACGCTCATTGGCTCTTCCCTGCTTCGTCACAGATTGCGACATGCCGTGTTTCAGTTGGTGTAGATTTGAAATGGAGAAGCGCGCGCGCCTTCACAGAGCGAACCGAAGCCGGATTAACATTTTCATGGATTATTAATTAAAAATCTGCTCTGTACCTCATACAAAACTATTATAATACTACCAGAGAGGACTGCAACACATCATCATGTGAACGACTTTTGGTACCGGTTTTGACATTTTCGCAAAATATAAATTATTGTGATTATACTTGTCTGTCTGTTTTGTTTTTCTTCATAATTGTACTCTAACGTTACGTTGTTTTAAGGAATGGTTATGGGTAGGTTTCCATTAATGTTACGTTTCATCCTTCTTATATTCTGTATGGGTAACTTATGTTTAGGTTTGGGAATAGGGTTAAGGGATCTTACATTTATCTATAAAATTGTAAAAATGGTTACAGAAATCTTTATGATATGGAATATACGTAAATAATTAACGTTTTGTAGCTGTAAAATCGTAATAATGTTACGTTTAAATGTTGCAGATACGTCTTATACGTTTCAGCATCTATCCAAACGTATAAAAAAGTACGTTTTCGATCTTTGAAAATAACGTATTAATACCTACGTATTAACAATGAGACCAGGCTGTAAAAACAACAAGAATGATAAAATAATTTGAAAAATATGCAGAAAAGTACAAAAATAATACACTTACAATTGCTTATATTATTCCAAAGCAAAGAAATGTCTTTAGAAGCTTTTTACATGTGAATGCTTATAGAGCTGGTCTAAGCTGGTGAAAGGTTGTACAGGAAAAAAAGGGAATTGGCTGAAACTCACCAATGTAAAAGTTAGTGGCCGTCCTCATCTGTCTGTGCTTGGAGACGACATATATCACCAGTGAGTTCCCGATCAGCCCCACCAGCATGATGAGGGAGAAGAAGAGGGGCACCAGCCAAGCATCCGTCAGGAAGGGGTGCTCCTCGTCCTCAATATCATCCATAGAGTAGTTTCCAATGGAGCTGTTCAACAGCTCACTTGAGTTCCAGTCTTCACCAGGAAACATGATTAAAGACCTTAAAACAAGATGAAAAAAGTAACGTTTCTTCTTTTCAGCAGTGACAAAATCCTCATCTCCACTAAGATTTCTCTCCAAGAAATATTAAGAAAAAGCCGTCTGAATCTGGCGTTGTACTTTCATAAACCTCATACTAGTCACTGAGGGAGTTTTGTAAGTTGACAGGTATTTGAGGGAGATGATCACCGCAATTTTTCTGACTTCTCTTCAGCTCTTTAAAAAAGGAGCCCTGCGAGCAGTATCCACTCAAAGACAGAGTGGTTTCGCTCCCATTGGCTTTATACACAGCCTGAACACACGTGGGCAACAGAGTGATTGTAGAATGAAGAACTGATGTCAGGTCGCCTAGCAACAATTTTAGATCTCTTGCTCTCTCTCTCTCTCTCTCTCTCTCATTCCACTGCTCTCTGTGCAGAGAGAGTAAAATATAAATGGTATTTACCCTGCAATATACACATAGCCTAAAGATACGCAACCCTGTGCAATCAAAGAGATCAATGTGGTACAATTTGTTCTACTATGACAACACATAATTCTTCCCTAGAAATTATTGGCCACATGGAAACACGCAATTACCGCTTCTTGGGACTGTGCACTCTACATCATGGCAAATTGCCATGTAGGATCTCCTTTGTTGAGCTCATGAAAGTTTTTCCTCCTTACAAATTGGTATACATGCACTTTTAGTGCAAATCGAACCAAATTCAGACTATGAACGAGCATTTCAATCAGACCTAAGTTCTGTGAGAATAAGCCCACAATCATGGTCTGACTGCTCAGATAAGAGCACAGTGGTCCCTCTGAACACTGATGATGAAGAACACTCCTGCATTATATTCAGTCAAATTCAACAAGCTTTCTTTGACCCCCTTACAGTGCCTATAATTGCACCCATTTAATACATGAAAGAAAGTGCTTATTATAATCAGAATTGTTTTTGTTTGGAAAAAAGTTCATCTTTTGTTTTTAATTTAATTAAAATATTAAACCAATATTACACAAGCAAGTGCTGTTGTTTGACATATTAGAGTATGTAAATAAATATGCAATATAAAAAAATAAGATAAATAATAAATAAATAAAAAAGAATATAAAAAAAATATTAAAAGGTTTTCTTGGAATTCTCAAATCTAAGTAGTCCATTGCATTTAGATGGCTGATATTTCCTATAACATTCACCCTTACCTATGGCAATGCAGTTAATCATACCATTAGACTGTCATTTAACTGTAAGAATTATTGCAGGAAAACTGCATAGAACCTCTTGAGCGAGACTGCAAGGTTAAATTGCTGGAACTTGAATACTTACTAATAAAAAAAATCATAATCCTAAAGTCCAAAAATGTTGTAGCTCAATATATTAAAGTGAAAGTGACATATGAAGGCCATCATGGTAACCCATACTCGAAATTTTTCCTCTGCATTTAACCCATCCAAGTTAGTGCACACACATTAGGAGCAGTGAGCACGCACACACTGCAAACTGTGGACGCACACACCCGGAGCAGTGGGCAACCATTTTTGCTGTGGTGCCCGGGGAGTGATCGGGGGTTAGATGCTTTGCTCTGTCACAGTCACCAGGGGCCGGTTGCACCAGCTGTGCGTAAGTTACAACTTAGCCTAGTTTTGACGTAAATGGGCACTAAGTTACAACTTACGCACTACTAAATATTCTTCCGTTGCACCATTAAACTTAGTTTAAACGTAACTCTACGTCCCAACTAAATATTTACGGCAGCTCCGATCAGGAGTAACGGTTGGAGTAAAATATCAGACAGACTGAACTGCATCAATAAGCTCTTCTTTTACCTGACAGACTTCAATTCTTTAGACATATATGATAATGCTGACATTTACACTCGCTTACATTTTAAGAGAGAGCAGTGGCGTAGGTTTGATTTTGAAATTGGTGGGGACGGGGACATCAATATTTAATATATTTAAAGTTTTGATCGAAAATTTTGCTAGGGATATATCAGTGTCACTGGATGGTAGGGACACGTCCCTAGCGTCCCTACTAAATTCTACGCCCCTGAGAGAGAGAACATTATGTGAAAAGATTACTTTGTTAGCAGCACTTTAACACGAACCCGTCCTAAACGACTGTAAAAAATAGGTCCTACACAGCGCCGCTGTGTGCATTTGTTCATGTTGTGCATGTCAAATATCAGTCATAATCAATAAACGTAATTTCTTGTTTTTTGTATGAATATTTATTTATTGATCCTTATTAATTTCATTTCAAATACAGTTTCTGAATGTTATTTATATATAAAAACACTTATGTTATTCATGATCAAGTATCGTATTAAATGGAAACTTATTTTTACCGTTAGTAACGTGAGGCAAAAGAAGTTAGAATGAAGGATAAACTGAAATTCACGGCATTTCAACACAACTTCTGCTCACGTATTTGAAGGCTGCTATTGGTTCATCGAGGCTAAACGTCATATTATGCGACTACGCATTACTTTACGGAGAGTTTACGACCTACTAGCTAAGTTCTACCTTACGAACAAATGGTGCAACGGAATAAAGTACAGAGTTAGTTACAAACTAGCTAGTAGTTACTAAGCCTCTAGTGTGGACTTTACGTTACAATTTAAGAAAGAAGTTACGAACGGCTGGTGCAACCCTACCCAGGTCAGTAACCTGTCAGCACTACATTTCCCAGCATCCCTCATGGTCCCCACCTGCACTCAGTCAGCCATCACCACACCTGCTGCTGATCATCACCAGATACTGATTCCCTGCACCTGCACTCCCTCATCAACACAGCCTATATCAACCTGAATCACCCTCACATCAGTGTCTGGTCTCGTCAACGTTACTACGAATGTATATGCTACGTAAACAGTCAGACTTCTTACCTGAACGTTCACCTGAGATTGTCCTGTCAAGTCTCCCCGATCCAGATCTCCTGTCATTGTGTTCATCCTTCACCTGCACAAAGAATTCACTTCAGTCATCACCAGCTAAGTCTACATCACCATTCGTCAAGTCACCATCATCTGGTTCCCGCTGTTTCCCCACACTCTGCTTCAATAAACACTGTTTGCACATTACCATCTGTCTGCTCCCTTCTGTGTGACATGCTCAAGGGCACCTCAGCCATTTCCTGCCGGTATTGAGAATCAAACCCGCAACCTTCGGGTTACCAATCTGACTCTCTAACCATTAAGCCACAACTGCCCCAACTCTGAGTTTAGAGTATAGATTATTTTTTTAATAAAAAATATGTGATCTCTTTGGAATTCTTAAAGCGGTCACACTTTAGTTTAGGGTCCAATTCTCACTATTAACTACTTTTGCCTCAAACTCCTAATTACTGCTTATTAATAGTTAGTAAGGTATGTTAAGTTTAGGTATTGGGTAGGATTAAGGGGTGTAGAAAATGGTCATGCAGAATAAGGTATTAATATGCGCTTTATAAGTACTAATAGACAACCAATATCCTAGTAATATGCATGTTAATAAGCAACCTTATAGTGAGAATTGGACCCTAAACTAAAGTGTTGAATCAGTTGTCTATTTCATAACATTCGTCATCCAGGGCAATGCTGTTGATCAGACTTTTTGACTAATCTGAATATCACCACGGATCTTACGTCTCAGTTATCGACTGTAGGGATTTTTTTTTTTTTTTTTTTACAACAAAACATTAAAACTTTTATATGTTTCACAAAAGGATGTGATGGACAATTGCCGAAAAACCCTCAAGGGGCTTAATTAGTGGCAATCTCCATAGAAAAAATTATATTTAACAAATTAAAAACGTTTAAAACTATTTAAAATTGAATTTAGAGCACAAACCCATGTGGAAAATTCAGACAACTTAGTAACAACAATTTTACTCTCTGTTTAAACTGTTCTTTAGAAACCTCAATAAGTGATGTGGGGAGACTGTTCCATACCTTTGACCCTCTGTACAATACACTAAACTGTGTTTGAGTCGTACGAGAGTAAGGAGGCCTAATAAGACAACTACTACGAATTGGATACTGGTGAAATTCATTATTAAAAATAAAAATATTACAAAAGTGCTGGGGAAATAACTTTTTTAAACGAATTAAGCAATTTGAAGTTGATTCACTTGGTAAACACTAAGCTACGATTTACCCAAAACATTATTCTTAAAGCTCGCTTCTGAAGTCGAAAAACAGATTCCAGTTTAGTTGGGTGGGTGCTAGCCCAAGCAACATTACAGTATAATTGATATAAGGGTACAACATTGAAAAATACAACATAACTGCTACTTTTCTATCAATCAAATGAGTTTTTCCTAGTATACCGACTTACGCTATTTTTCAAAGTTAATCACTCTAAAACTACCTCTGAGTACTTCAGTTCTCTTACGAGAGGTTCTCTCGTATTGCGTAAGTTTAGCTTACGCTACGGGAAAGATTCATCTTCTCGAGATATTGAAGCCAAAAAATTATCCTAATTTTGTATTCATTGTCAACGCAGTGCAGCAGCTAGCAGACCTAGAGCAGGCAGTCTAGCGTGCTCATTGGCTGCCCTGCAGGCAACTGCTGCAGCCTACCAGTGAGCCCGGCGTGACGTCACGCCCAATGAAGGGCGCTCGCGCCTTCATAGCGTCACAGCCCGCCAGAATGGGCGTGGCTTAGCGTATAAAAGAAGGGGCTCGTAGGCTGAATTCCCTGATTTTTCGACTCTTCAGCGAGCTCTTCGCATCGCTGGATTGAGGGAAGCCACCGTCGCCGTCGAGACCGCGAACAGCCAGCCAGGACAGCGCTGAGGAAGCCGGCCGTCTTCGCCACCTTCAGCCATCCGTGCGAGCTACGCTATCCGGCGACGTATCCTTTTTACATTGTTGTTGTATTCTCTTTTCTCTTACTCCTAAAAGAGCAGCGAGCGTCTTTTTCAAGATGCCTCGCACTTCCTGTGGACAGCCGGAACCTGTGGCCACAGCGACGCGCTCGCCGGAGAACCTCCCTCGAGCCTCGCTCTCGCCTTCCCCGCCTCTCTTCACCGACGCG